GCTCTTAACTGATATAACAGATAACAATTTGTTTAAAATAATAATACCAACAATACATTCAATTATGCATGCCTGTGTGTATGTATACATAGGGATACATATGCTTACACATGCTTATGTATAAGTGAAATGAATGACAGAAATCATACAAGGGACACAGCAGGGAGGAATTAGAATTATTTTGCTATTATAAGGCACTGACACTATCTTTGAAGTGGTAGAGTGTAATTTGAAAGTGGGTTTGCTGAAATGTATATTGCAAAGTCCCAGGTAACTACTAAGAAAAAAAGTAAAAGAAGTATAACCAACATGCTGAGAAAGGAGAGAAAATGGAATAATCTAAGATGCTCAATTAAAACTATGAAAGGTAGGAAAAGAGTAGAAGACAAAAGTAGGAATAAAGAACAAGGTAATGAATAGAAAACAGTAACAAATATGACAGATAATAATCCAACTATATCAGTAATCACTTTGAACATCAACGTAGACCACCTAAATGCACCAATTAAAAGACAGACATTGTCAGAGTGGATCAAAAAAACAAGACCCAACTATACGTTGCCTTTAAGAAACCACTTTAAATAGAATAACATATGTAGATTAAAAGTAAACAGTTGGAGAACAACATACCATGCTAACACTAGTTAAAAGATAAGAAAGGACACTGCATAATGATAAAGGGATCAATTCTCCAAGAAGGCATACAACCCTTAACAGGTATGCACCTAGTAACAGAGCATCACACTATGCAAGGCAAAACCCGATGAAACTGCAAAGAGAAATAAAAGAATCCACTATCACTATCACGGTTGGCAACTTCAACACCCCTCTATCAGAAATGGACAGGCCTGGCAGGCAGAAAACCAGTAAGGACGGAGATGAACTCAGCAACGTCATCAATCAACTGGATCTAACTGACATCTACAGACCCCTTTATCCAACAACAGCAGGGTACACATTCTCCTCCAGCTCACACGGAATGCTGACAGAGATAGATCCCATTCTGAACCATAAAACACACTTTAACAAATTTGACAGAAGAGACATCATACAGTGTCTGCCCTCAGACCACAATGAAATTAAATGAGAAATCAATAACAGAAAGGTAACTGGAAAGCCCTAAAAGGGAACTGTGTGTGTGTTCGGGAGTCTGGGTTAAGTACATCTTCTGCAAACCACAGAGAGTCGCAGAAGGTCTTAGATTAGGCAAGTAGGAGCATGACTAGAAATGTGCTTCGGGAAAACAAGGCTATAACACGTGGGTTGGGCTGGAAGAGAAAGTTAATAGATCCAAGGAAAACAGTTAAACAAGTAAGAAACTCCAGGTAAGAGGTAAAAAGGACCCCAAACAGACTAGTAACAATGGAATAGAACCGCAGAATGTGAGGAAGCTACAAATAATGACACCTAATTTGTATTTTAAAATATAAAATGTATGTCCTCACCTCATCTACTCCCATCTTCATCTTCAGTCTATGTCACCGACACCACTGAACTTGGGACACAGCAACCAACTCCTGGTGGCCCTCCCAGCTTCCGTGCCCACGTCCACCTTCACCCCACTGCGCGGCAGCCAGAATTCTCTTCTCAGACCTCATTCCCCTGCTCAGTACCCTCCAAGTGGGACCAAACCCAAACCCCTCACTGTGGTCGGCAGGACCACCCCTCAGGCCTCCCTACTGTGATCACCCACCTGCAGCCACCGCGGCCTCCCTTCAGTTCCTCTGAACCCTCAGCCCACTTTCACTGAGGACTGTCCCCCCTGCCTGGAATGGGCTTCCCCTACATCTTCACATGGCTGGCTTTTTAAAATGTGTTACTTATGGGGCTTCCCTGGTGGCACAGTGGTTGAGAATCTGCCTGCCGATGCAGGGGACAGGGGTTGGAGCCCTGGTCTGGGCTCCACGTGCCGCGTGGAGCAACTGGGCCTGTGAACCACAACTACTGAGCCTGCGCATCTGGAGCCTGTGCTCCGCAACAAGAGAGGCCGCGACAGTGAGAGGCCTGCGCACCACGATGAAGAGTGGCCCCCACTCGCCACAACTAGAGAAAGCCCTCGCACAGAAACGAAGACCCAATACAGCCAAAAATAAAATAAATTAAAAAATTTAAAATGTGTCACTTCTCAGCTCAAATGTCGTCTTCTCAGAGATGCTGTTGCCGATGACTGTTCTTAAAGCAGCCACCCGTCTAGCTGTCCTATTATCCTGCTTGATTTCTTCACAGCAATCACCACCCTCTACCATTACCCTCTTTATCTAGACGGGCACATTGTCTCACTCCCCAGCAACCCACACTGAAATGTACATCCTGTGATGGCAGGACCTTGTCTGTCTTACTCACCACCTGTTCCCTCACCACCCTGTTCCCCCAGGGAGAGGACAGGCCTGAAACAGAGTAGACATTCAGTAAAATATAAACTCAAAGAACATCAAATTCTCTCACAGATGCTAGTGAACGCGTAACACCGTGTAACATTCACTGAGCTGTGCGTCTCCCTTTTTTCTCCTGTTGCTTTATGAGCTGCTGTACTGACTGGATTGAAAACCATGCATTTGAGATAACATAGTGCCTTCTAAAGAGGGTGTATCGGGACCTCCCTGGCGGTCCAGTGGTTAAGGCTCCGTGCTTTTAATGCAGGGGGCATGGATTTGATCCCTGGTCAGGGAACTAGGATCCCATGTGCCATGCGTCCAAAATATAAATAAATGAAATTTGTTAAAAATAAATAAAGAGGGTGTATTGCCTAAATCAGTAAAATTATTTAAGCTATTCAGCTTTTATGATTAGGCAATTTGGTGGCTTTAAAATAAGACGGACACCCTTACCCTACAAGCTAAGTTACTTGCCCCCAAATTTATATACAGATGGCAAGGAGAGACTTCCTCTAAATGTAGGGGAGAGCCATTGGGAGAGCCTTCTGGGGAAGCAGGTCTGCAACCTCCCCCTCCCAGGCTATGAACTATAGGCCTCCTAGCAGCCTTCCCTGCATCTTGGGTTTGTCAACTTAACTAAAATGCACCAGTGAAGACAAATCATAAGGGGGAAAAAAATAGCCATGTATGTATGTTACACGCCTATGCACATATGTATTTGTAAGAAAAATACATAAAAAATATAAAACCAAATAGTTACGAGAATACAGCTTTTGAGAAATAGCATTTTCTCACACAGCAAAGCAGAAACGTTTGAGCTAAGGAACCAAAATGATGAAGAGGCTCCCAACGCCACTTCTTGATTGGTTTGACCATCCAACTTTTTTTCTTTGCCGTTCTCTTTTTTTCCTATTTCTTTTGGCCAGTCTGGCCCATGTGGCCGCTAGTGTGTGACTCTGCCCCAGTGCCCTGACATGTCCATTTCCATTTGGCAACAATAGAGGACACTCACTAAAACTCTTCTTAAACAGAAGCTGTCAAGTTTTCTAAGATAACTGCCCAGCATCTTCCAAAACAGATACCTTGACTGCTTGGTTAGCAAGATACACCGTGCCTTTTGTTTTTATGAGGTCTGTTTTATTGCCACTGATTACCCAGCTAGTTCCCTAAATGATTGGTGAGGAAATTCATCCCTTTGTTTTACCCAAAAAATATTTACTGAGTGCCTCCCGGGAACCAATACAGCAGCATTCTGCCTTCTGAAACCACCTACTGGAGATCCAGCACCACCACCTGAATAGAACCGCAGAATGTGAGAAAGCTACAAATAATGACACTTAATTTGTAATTTGTATTTTAAATACAAATTATTTTATTTAAATAATTTAAAATACAATTTGTATTTAAAAATACAAATACAATACCTCTGAGGGTAGCTTCCGTATCACTGCTTAGTCCCCAGTCCTAAGCAAGCTCATCAAAATGATCCCTCCCTCACACCTCCAACCCACCATCACGGCCAGTTAGCTACGGTTTTGCTGTTCTCTGAACCCATGACTCCTCTGAATTATTTCCATTTTAAAATAG